ATTAGCTTTTAATTTAAAGCAATTAAATGTCATACCTGGAAAATATCACAAAATCATGAAAGATAGTGAATGTAATTTTTTCTTGTTATGGTCAATATATTTTTCATAATTTTGTATCAAGTGTGAAAAAATGATTGGAACAGAAATTTAGTGGTCAGAAGGAGATATCAGTGGTATCAATATCATTTCAACACAACACAAAATGCAAAGGACAAGTATGTGTGACACCAGATTGGCTGGGGGTGGAGAGGTAAATAAACATATTTGTTTCGCTCTATTGCTCAAAGATATCTACTGGGGAGGGGGGCGAGATGAATGACTTATGCCTGTAACCACAGATACGACACACCTGTATGCATATCACCTGCTCTTACCATATATGGCCTTGAGTGAATGAACACAGAGAGAGATAAAAGTGCAAGGGTTGTAAAGTAGAGAGAGCGAGAGAGTGTTGCACAGTCTCCACCACTGTCTGCTTCCTTCTCGATTCCTCCGGTGGCAGGTGAGTTCCTCTTACTCTCGCTCTTTCCATTGCAGAAAAAAGACCTTTAACTTTGAAGATGCTCAATTAAAGTGATTCATTAGCCAAGCAGCCTGTAAAAGTTGACCCTGCAAAAGAAGAAAAAAGTTAATTTAGTACATAATAAAGCAGTGCTTTTTATTTGAAATATAAGAATATTATTCAGCGGTTATGCCTAGATATTTTGCATGAATTAATCATTTTAATTAAACTTCTATCAGCAGTGGCAAAAACAACAGCAGAAATAATAAAAACGATAAAAAAAAATAGATATTAGAAATACGCTGGACAAAATCTTCCTGTCTTTTGTCTGTTATCTAACATTAAATACATTTCTTGAATCAATTAAGTGAATCATTTGAAGTGTTTGACAAAAATGGACAGCACATACATTTATATTTAAAATATTCCCTAAAAAGTTTCCTAATGAGAAAATTAACTTCCGACTGTCTTTCTTGGTGAAATGTCTTTCACTTGATATTGTTGGTCTGGAAATATCTGTTTGGTGTTTAAGCTTGTTTGCTGTTATTCATTATGATAGATCACGACAAAAGAAGTCAATGTGTCGATTACTGACTGGTGGACAAAAACATCCCTTTAACATAGTGGCTTTATATTTGAATAACTTGACAACATGCTATGTTTCTATATTACATTGTATATTATAACTATGCATTGCATAATCTGATGTGCTCATATGCTTTGGTCTGAAACAGAAGGTTAGATTGGCCATGATGGGCAGTTTACAGGAAGAATATTAATCAAGGTTATAGGGAAGGAGGATGGAGATGAGACATGTGCACAGCACTGTCAGGCCTGATCAAACACCGGGCGGTTACATAAAA